ACATTTTGAACAAATTCATTCATACAGAACTATTAAAGACTTCTTTCTATGTTCAGTTTGTTCAGTTGACAATAGTTTTTTCCCTTTGTATGTGTAACTAGTTAGCTCATTGGAATAAACAGAATGGAGAATTAGCTACGTGCTTTAAAATGTACTCCACAAACCCACCAATGTTACCTCCATTTTGTCTTACTTTAGGCAAATAGGACTTGTGGTCTTGGGCTATAGGAAGGGGTTGTTTTCATCATACTTGTTTGCTAAAGCACTGATTTGGATGTTAGCTCATTTACATCTGTGTGTCCCTTGAGCATTGCACAGTCTGTAACACAATCTGTAAAGTGACATGCATTCTGGAATGAGTCACACATACTCAACTTTATTTGTTTAGGTAATGATTTATCAAATTGTTCTATTCAGTAGTGGGTACATACAAAAGAATCACTAAGATCAGTTGGATTTAAAGCACATGCTCAGGGACTTGACAGATTTGGGGGCCTATGAAGGATGGCATAGCTTTAATTTTGTCATGTCTTATATGATCCATTCCTCTGTGTGTGTGTGTGTGTGTGTGTGTGTGTGTGTGTGTGTATATATATATATATATATATATATATTGAGTAGTATATATATATATATATAAAAATATTGAGTAGTATTAGGAATGCATAGTGGCCGATGAAGAGCATATAAACCTCAATGGAATAGAATAACATCGAGCCTGAATGTGAAATGTTAGTACTTTTGACACAAGCTCCTTTTTGTATGCTCTTTGTGGCTATTCCTTCTGCTACACATGTGCTGTTGGATTTTTATAAGTTGTTAACCTACATGTCAGGCTATATTTGCTTCATTTAACAATGAATAAGGTTACACTCCCCTTCAGCTCTTATTCAGTGCTTCCTCCCGTTATCTAGTATTTATGTGAAGTTGTACGGAGAGAAGAGTTCTGTTTGATTGACATCACTATAATGAATTGTAAGATGTCTTGTTAGTTGCATCATATACTTTTTCACAATTATGTATTGTGCAATGATTTGGTATACAATCTCTCACAACATATCCATAAAATATTCCTAAATGTTTTCAGTGTTTATTGAATTCCCAATTCAGTTTTGTGTTAGAGCAGTTTCTGAGATCCAAGTTTGAGGGTTTTTTCATAGTGCCTGAACATACTGATTCAAGTTATAATTATCTTTGTTGTAAAGGATATTTCACTGCAAAATATTTGAAAGAAACCAAATATGACTTTTAAAATAACTGTAAACATGACTCTCTTTTGAGACATGCTGGCTAGAGATCTCATTTGTGAACAATCAGGTAATCTTACTAGTGCTTACAAATAATGGCAGGTACAAAAAGGGTGTTCAGATTTTAAAAATGTAGCTCATAAAAATTGATGCGTTCTGCAGACTTATCTAGCTGCTGAATTGTTATTTTAAATATCCATAGCATGCTTTGGAGTATGAGAGACATGGAAAAAGATATGTAAAACCTATCCAAGAAGCTTATATTTTAAATACATTGGTAAAATAAATCACATTGGAAAATCCAGAACACAGTTTAATATCAGAGCGTTGTTTTTCTTCACTTCTGTTTCAGTATCACGAGTGGATGACAACACTTTTACTAAATATTTTGTTCAGAGAAAATAGAAATGATTCAGATTAATCTATCAGTGGTTTGGTACATAAATGTTAGCCTAAGTACAGTTGTAGTATTTTTAACTTGTATGGGTATTGGGTGTCCTTGGAAGTGGAATAATGGGGGGTGAAATTTAGGGTTGTCTACACTGCATTCCTCTTTTAAATGCAGAGGAACGAAATTGCAAATGAAGCACGGATTTACATTTCCCACACGTCATTTGCATAATTGCATCTGGGCGCTATTTTGAAATACCCTATTTCGAAAAAAGAAACGCCGTCTAGCCGTGGTTATTTCAAAAGAAAACTCTTCTTTCAAAATTACCCTTACTCCTTATAAAATGAGGTTTAAGGGTAATTTTGAAAGAAGTTTTCTTTCAAAATAACCGTGTCTAGACATCTTTTCTTTTTTCGAATAGAGGGTACTTCGAAATAGCGCCCAGATGTGATTATGCAAATGAAGCACGGGAAATTCAAATCCGCGCTTCATTTGCAATTTTGCTCAGCTGCATTTGCATTTATCTCTCGAAAGAGGAATGCAGTGTAGACATACCCTTACAGAGGAGAGGAGAGAATAAAACTTCCATGATTAAACTTGCTATTTGTTTTCAGAGTTTGCTAATTTTTGTGTGAAATATTTATAATGCATGCATATAGAAAGTCTTATAATTGCAAACCAAAAATAAAACCATAACAGTCATTTTATTTGCATAAATGTTTTTCATGTAATTTTATTAACGATTACTTTAGCATAAGTAATCTGCCCAATTTTTCTCTGTTAAAGAAATTAACAGAAATTAATTATATTATTTTATAGATAATATTGTCATGAAACTTTTTTTGTGAATACTTTCTGGGATCTTAAAGACATAGTCTCAGATATGAACCTTCATTTTAAATAGTAAACCCAGTTAGGCCGTAACCAAGCAAACCTTTCCACAAGGTATTGGCTGTTACTGACATAAACAGAATGTTCTTTCTTTCTTTCTTTCTTTCTTTCTTTCTTTCTTTCTTTCTTTCTTTCTTTCTTTCTTTCTTTCTTTCTTTCTTTCTTTCTTTCTTTCTTTCTCCCCTAAATGTGTTAATAGTTTTTGATATTATGCTAGTAATTATATTTTTATGATATAATTGATCAGACAGTTTCTAAGTATGGTATTTACGTTTTTTAATTAAGTCTTAGAGCTCTTTTGTGTGGTAGGTTAATAATATTATCTCTGTATTATAGATTCATATATTCCAAGACCAAAAGGGACTATTATGATAATCTGTTCTGACTTCCTATATAACACAGATCATAGAACTTCCCCAAAATAGTTCTTAGAGCAGATCTTTTAGAAAAACATCCAACCTTTGTTTGAAAACTATCAGCAATGGACAGTCCACCACAACTCTTAGTAAATTGTTCCAGTGATAATTACTCTCACTGTTAAAAAATTGTGCCTCATTTCCAGCCTGAATTTCAATATTCAGCTCTTGGATCATGATCTACCATTGTCTGCTAGACTGAAGAGCCCATTATTAAATATTTGTTCCCCATACAAGTATTTGCAGACTATAATCAATCACCCCTTAACCTTCTCTTTTGTTATGCTAAATTGATTGAGTTCCTTGAATCTACATTACAATATGACAGGTTTTCTAATCCTTTAATCATTTTCATGATTCTTCTCTGGACCATTTCCAGTTTATCCATGTCCTCCTTAAATTGTGGACTCCATCCCTGGACATTATTTCAGCAGTAGTGCACATGCCAAATACAGACATAAAATAGCTTCTCTACTCTTACTTGAAATTCCCCTGTTTTATGCAGCAGAGGATTTCATTAATTCTTTCATTGACAACATCATACTGGAAGCTCATGTTCAGCAGATTATCCACCTCCATTTCTTTAGTTAAATGGCTCAGTCAGTCTTGTGACACTGTTGAGAGTAGAACCTTGATCTTGATTCAGATCAACCCTCTCAATTCACAGAATCACTATTCATGGGCCGGGTCTCCTGACCCAGCCTGGAGGAGTGGCAAAGGCTGGGAGTTGTGGGAAACTCACCGCGACTTCCAACCACTGGTTCCTCACAGCTGCCCAGAATCACGGTGAGTTCCCTATGGATGCCCGAAACTGCAGGGATATCACCACAGCTACCAGGTTCAGGATGAGTTCCCCATGGCTCCCAACCCCCACGGTGAGTTCCCTACAGCTGCCAGCCCTTTGCAATGAGTTTGGGAGCTTAATATTTTAGAGAGCTCCTCTTTTTCATCTTCTGATTGCCCTCCAATAGCTCCTTTTTCCAGTTCTTAGAGCATCCACTGTTATTCCACTGGTTTGGAGGTCTTTTTATTCTTTATCATTTTGGACTCCTTTTTCTGTCTGGTAGTTCTTTATATGCAGCTTTTTATCCCATTCTTTGAATGTGTGTTACTTTTCTAAATCTGGAAACTTTCGTATTACCACTGTCCTTTTTTTAACCTCTTCTGCTTGATTACTCTTAAAATATTTCAGAGCCATCTTTCTCAGTTGAAATGCCAAGATTCCATCCAACTAGTTTTCATTTTTAAATATTAAAATCACATTCAGAATGATTTAAACAGCCAGCTGACATCGAAGTGTTTTTTAAAGAAAACCTAGAAGAGCTTTTCATATACACAGCTAGTATGACCATTTATAATGTTGCCAATTTAGCTGTCCCAATGTTGTATTGGGATTAAGCGTTAATTTAGGAACTTAGTTGCCACTTGAAATATTAATGAGACTGAACCAAACTCTGTTGTAGTCTGTGATGTAAATGCTTTTAAGTTTAGTGTTTTGAAGAAGCAGCAAGAGCCTTTGCAGCTGGTCCCTTCTGGAAAACAAACATAATGGCTAACAACAAAACAGACCATCAGCACTTCAGTAAACAGGCACACATTCTGTAATGACTTGCCAAAATACTGTTTAAAAATTGTTTGCTGTAAAAGAAAATCCTAGCAGAAAGTGATGCATACGTCCTGTTATATTGACAGGCTGCCCAGCTCAGCATCTTGGGATGACTGTCAATGTGTTGTTGCCAAAATTAATTACAAACTCTTTTGTTGTGAAAAAGAAAGAAAGAAAGATTTTTTCAGATAATTAATTTGGTTAGCGTGTTAGAGGAATAGTTTTAGAAAATGTGAAGATTTCGAAAATGGAGCCTAAAGCAAAAACATCTGTTGTTGAGAAAATGCCTTTTTTCATAATACTAATATGCTTTCTGTTACTGGATAGCAATAACAGTTACACAGCTCTGCTCCTATGCTCCAACTACTGTTTGTCTTTCTCAATAGATGATTTACTTTAAGAGAAGAAAAATTTAATAAAGTAACACACCATTTTTCTCTCATCTACAGATTGCTCTCCAGGATTGTGGGGGTTTCCCATGTGTCGGTATTTAAAGGAAGAGAGCTGGTGCTGTGGTCGCAATGCCAGAATGTCAGCATGCTTAGTATGGTTCTTTTTTCTTTTTCTTCTTTTTTCCTCACTGGAAGCTATATCCAGATGTTATAGAATTCATTGTTTTTGGCTTGTAATCCTAGAGCTATGACTTAAATCCCAGACTCTATGGAATAACATAATTAATGTTGTATGCATGATAAATTATAGGTAAAAAAAATTGTATTAACCTTCCAACTTTGCACTTTTTATATTTGCTGAGGGCAGGAAACAATGAGGATGGACAAAAAAATATTTTTAAAATGGCAAAAAAGGCCACAGTTTCTTGACTTGCATTTGAACAAAGCAATCTCTCAGTGCAATAGGTCACAGCCGTAATTTAAAGGAGATAACATTCCTTCTTCCATCACTGACTTCCCCAACAAGAATGAGGAGTCTTGTGGCACCTTAGGCTACGTCTACACTCTGAGATTATTTCGAAATAAGTTATTTCAGAATAATAATTTCCAGAATAACTATTTCAAAATAAGCTTATTCCCCAAGGAAAAAGGAGTTGTTATTTTAAATAACCAACCCCTTATTTCGAAATAACAGGCTTGGCATTGTGGACACCTTGCCAAGATACATCTACACAGCGGGGTTATTTCAAAATAAAAACTCCAAGATAGCTTATTTTAAAATAGTGCATCTACACTACAAATGTCGATCGAAATAGCGTTGAGCTATTTCAAAAAAGAGTATCCACATTGATTGGAGCCTCAATCGTATTTAAGATCCACTTTGGAAGTACTTCGGGCAGGGCATCAGGACAGCGCTCACTTCCTAGAGCTGCTTCCTGAGGCTATCTGAGGCTCGTGCTTAAAGGGATCTTCTGTACAGTCAACATCTCAGGCTCCTCTCCTTTGCCTACCTCCTTGCAATACAGAAAACCCATTTCACTGTGTGCTCTAGTTGCCATTGTGAACACCACAGCACTTCTGCCAAAGCAGTCTCCAGCTCCTAGACCTCATGCTACATCCACTGGTGCAGTTTTCGTAGGCTGCCCTCATGGCACTGCAGAACCAGAACCCGCAGCTCCCTGCGGGGAACCTCCTTATCTCTCTCCCTGTGCTACTCATGCATCACAGCCCCTCCCACCCTCTTCTGCACACCGTGCGCCACCACTTCTGGCAATGGAACACCAGTTTGGACTAGTGGGACCACATTTTCATGGAGCGGTGGGACGACCAGCAGTGGCTCCTGAATTTCTGCATGTCTAAGGACACCTTCCTGGAGCTCTGCGAGTGGCTTGCCCCTGTCCTCCGGCGATGGGACACCTGCATGAGACTCTCCATCCTCCTGCAGAAGTGGCTCGCCATCGCTATTTGGAAGCTCGCCATGCTGGACAGCTACCACTCCGCTGGGAACCGGTTCATCATGTATGACTCTCTTACTATGTTATTGGGAGGGTATTGAACTGATGGAATGAGGTTCCCTAGGAAAAGGGTGGTGGTGGTGGAAGCTCCCTCACCGGGAGGTTTTCCAGTCCTAGCTTCACAAAGTCCTGCCGGGGGGTAAAGTTAATTGGGGTTCGGCCTCATGTGTAGGGTAAAGGGGATTGGGCTCGGTGATCTCCCAAGGGGTCCGACAACCCTGTGATTTTCTCTTTGTCTCCTTCTCCAGGTGGTGAGGGCCTCCTCGGTGACTTGGACACTGGTTTTGCCGCCATGGGCTTCCCAACTGCAGGGGGCCATGGACAGCACCCACATCCCCATAGGGCCCCCGACCACTGGGCATCCTACTACATCAACCAGAAGGGGTACTTTTCCATGGTCCGGCAGGCTGTTGTTAACCACTGCAGCTGCTTCATGGATATTAATGTCGGGTGGACGGGGAAGATGCCCGACGCCCACATCTTTAGGAACTCCAGCCTCTACCAGAAAATGCTTGCCGGCACTTTTATCCCCAGCTTCACCATCAGAATCGGGGACGTGGACATGCTGATGTGCAGGGCTCGCCGAATCATGGCGAGCCCCACTCGGTAGCCGCGCTATCCGGCGATCTGCGCATGTGCAGATCGTTCTGCTCAGGCTCAGATCGCCCGAACCCGGCTCTTCTGAGTTACAATCTACTCGCCCCGGGCAAGTAGATTGTATTATTTGTCGAATCCTGCTGATGTGCATTGTGGGGGATGCAGCCTATTCTCTGCTCCCCTGGCTTATGAAGCCCTGGACACCTGGACCTGGCCAACTAACAGTTTAACGCCAGGCTTAGAAGAGCCCACACTGTGGTGGAGGGAGCCTTTGGTCATCTCAAAGGGAGGTTCTGCTGCCCCCTCACCCACCTGGACCTTGGTGATCAGAATGTCCCCCAGGCATGCTGTGTCCTCCACAAGATTTGTGAGAATAAAGGGGACACATTTATACCAGGGTCAGAGGCAGAGGCCAAGTGGCTCACCAGAGTTTTTGAATAGCCATGCACAGCTGCCATCTGAAAGGACCATCAGGAGGCTGTGCACATCTGGGAGGCCCTGAGGGAGCATTTCAGACAAGAACATTTGTGAGAATGTCCCCTGGGTCTCCCAACAAAGGGCCTCTGCAGTGCTCCAGTGTGCCTTTCTTCTTTCACCCTTCCTTTCACTGCCCTCCTTTTCTTCCCCCTCCCCCCTCCTCCCCACAGCTACAATAAAGCAGACTTTTTGTTTTGGAATAATGAACTATGTGGGTTTTGGGGGTAATGAAAAGTGGGGAGGGACTGGGGAAAGAACCTGGGAGACGGAAGGAGGAGGTGATGCTCAGCAATGGAGCTGCGAGTGGCACCTGCCCCGGATGGTCCTATACCTCTTGTGCGAGGGCCCTCAGAAGTCACACTGGGAGCTAGGGGGAGAAGCCGGAGGAGCAGGAGTGGGAGGGCAACTGCTCAATGGCAGCGACCATGCAGTGGACAATGGCTGTGTATGCTGCACTCTTGTGCCACCTCCCACCAGGTGGCATAGCACTGTTTCTAGTCTGCTTCCCACCACTGGTCCTGCCTCTCCAGAGACTGCCAGAGGCCACGCAGGCAGGCCACACGTTTCCACTCCATATCCTCATGTGCACGTCTGCAGCAACAGCTCCCACGGGGTCGGGAGGCTGACATGGGAGGTGTTGTAGGCATCTTACTCGCAGCTGGTCCAGCTGTGAAGAATAAAGAGAAGGGCAGTCATTCCAACAGACAGGGTGCATGAAGCCTAGCCCTCATCTCTGAGGCAACACCCAAAGGTCTCAGGTCAGGCGAAGGCGATGTGCTTTGAGCAAGGCCATCTCTGACCTACACAGCAGGCCCCTTCCTGCAAGGAGGGCACAGGTGTCCCGGGTAGAGTGAGGGGGCTCACTTCCCCTATGTCTCAGGGACGAGCAGGCATGGAAAGGTTCCAGCCAGGCCAGGAGCCTGCAGACACGATGGAGGCAACAGGGCACCTTGGCTTCCTTCCATGCCACGCACACACTAGGTTTGGCAGTGGCAGCACCTCGCAGGGAGAGGACTTATCTCCCTGCCCACTGGAGGAGGGGGGGAGGGTGATGGGGAGGTGTGTGTGAGTGCCAGACACTGCTTGCTGAGGAGGGTGCTACTGGGGTCTCCTCCACTTCCTTCCCCTCCCAGCAGGCTCCCCTTGCAGTTGCTCGGTGTTCTCCACCTCATCACACTTGCCCAAGAGCACAGGCAGCCCTGAGAGAGAGAGAGAGAGAGAGAGAGTGTGTGTGTGTGTGTGTGTCACATGACGCCAGCCTCCTTAGTGGTGGCTGGTGGTGGGACAGTGTCCCACCACAGAGTCGGGAGTGAGGAAGGACTCTCCCGAAACCCTGTCAGCAGGAGCAACGGGTTCTTGTGTGGCAGCCTCATGTGGCTATCTGCCCCGGACTGGCGCTCCATGTGCACAGGCTGCTGTGCGATGCCCAGGCCAAGAAGGCCGAGCGAGGAGCGCTGAAGCCCCTTGCAGCCCGACGAAAGTAATGGAGCTCACCTGATGGGCTTTCTCTGGCTTTGTCCAATCCCTGGATGATATTCTGGAAGGATAGTACCAGCTCCAGGGAATGGCTGAGCTCCTATCTGACAGGCATTGTGATGTTAGTGGCCTGGTCCTGCTCCCTGTCCTCTTCCTTGGCTACAGACCTGCTCTCCAGGACACTGACAATGGGCATATCCCAACCAGAGTTCACAACAAGGTGGGCGACAGGACTGACCCCTCTCCCCTGACCCCCCAGGATGCGGTGGAGCTGGTCGAAGTAGTGGCAGGTCTGGGGTCTTTGAGTGGGAGCTATGCTTCCTGGGCCTTGGTATAGGCCTGCCTGATCTCCTTTACTTTCATGCGCATCTATTCCTTGGTGCCTCTCTGGCCCTTGTGGCCCAGGCTGTCAGCCATCCGGCCGTAGACATCTACATTCCTGCAGCTGGTGCAGAGATCCTGGAAGTTTGCTTTGTCTTCCCAGACCTCAATAAGATCCAGGATCTCCACACCAGTCCAGGATAGGGCCTGCATCCTCGGCCCCCGGGCTGGGGCTTGGAGGCTGCCTGCAGCTATGCTGGCAGCTGTGGGGATCTCAGGTGGGATGCTGGGGTCTGACATGGTAGCAGTAAAGCCAGAACTGGCTGCTGCTGTGTGGCACAGTGCAAGTAGGGCTCACATCATACCACAAACTGTTTCCCCTGAGGCTACGGCTTTAAGGACTGCAAGGGAAGGGGAACTATAGAGTTCTGCCGCTTGTGAACAGAGTGGCCCCCAGGGCATCTATGAGACGCTCTGGAGGCCACTTATTCTGAAATAACCACAGCTCCCCATCTATACATGCTCTATTTCCAAATATCTCTTTCAAACTAGGCATTATTCCTAGTAAAATGAGGGTTACAGAATTCAGAATAAGACTCTGTGTAGACGCTCACCTAATTATTTTAAAATAACACAAGTTATCTTGAAATAACGCTGCTGTGTAGACGTGCCATTAGAGATTAACAGATTTACTATGGCATAAACTTTTGTGGGTAAAATCTACTTCGTGAGATGAATTTGAGTGGAACTTAGAGAAGCAGGGATAGTTGCACATCCATCCACTGACGAGATATATACCTTCAAGTGCCAGCAGTGTTCCTGTGCCATGTACATTGGCCAAACCAGACAATCTCTATGCCAAAGAATAAATGGACACAAATCAGACCTCAGGAAAGGTAACACATATAAACCTGTAGGAGAATACTTTAACCTCCCTGAACATTCAGTAATGGATTTGAAAGTAGCCATCCTTCTATAAGAGAATTTCAAAACTTGATTACAAAGGGAGATGCTGAACTGGAATTCATTTGCAAATTCAGCACTACCGGTTTAGGATTGAATAAAGATCTCAGCTGGTTAATGCTTTACAAAGGCAATGTCCCCTCTCTGCATATTCACATTTCCACCCCAAATGTGAATGAGCCACTTCCACCATGATTTGATTAGCTTCATTAACACAAGCAACTTCTTCCTTGTATATTTACCCCCTGCTTCTGTAACTTCCATTCCAATTCATCTGATAAAGTGGGTCATGAAATCTTATGCCCTAATAAATCTGTTAGGGTATGTCTACACTTGCCCCTTAATTCAAAGTAGGGAGGCAAATGAAGCATACCAAAGTTGCTAATGGTAATGTAGGCAACCGGAGTTGCAAATGAAGCCAGGGATTTGAATTTCCCGGGCTTCATTTGTATAAAGCCAGGCGCCGCCATTTTTAAATGTCCGCTAGTGCGGACTCCGTGCCGCGCGACTACATGCGGCACGGACTAGGTAGTTCGGACTAGGCTTCCTAGTCCGAACTACCATTACTCCTCTGATTTTAGTTCCTAGTCCGAACTACCTAGTCCGTGCCGCGTGTAGCCGCGCGGCACGGAGTCCGCACTAGCGGACATTTAAAAATGGCGGCACCCGGCTTTATGCAAATGAAGCCCGGGAAATTCAAATCCCTGGCTTCATTTGCAACTCCGGTTGCCTACATTACCACCCTAGTTCGAACTAGGGTGGTAGTGTAGACATACCCTTACAGCATTATTCTCCTTGTAGGGAGGACCTACTAGCATTGCCTGGGACCTTGCATGCAATGATAACAGTCCCCGTATTTTAACTTGCATAGCAATTCCCATTTGCTGAGTAACAGGGGGCCAACAGCACCATAGGGACTGGCTTAGAGTACTGCTTGAGAACTCATATCCACCTCTGTGCAAGCATGATAAAACAGCTGGCTTTAACTGAGCTGTACCTCAGCATCACTTGATTTTACTGTGTTACATTTGCATGAAGAGCAGCCTCTCCCTGGCTGATGCTGGCCAGCAATATTCACCAATATTACAGACTTAGCCAATGGTATCTGCCGCAGTCCCCCTGATCATTTTCATCTGTGTGCAGAATAAATTTTATGTGCACTGAGGCATGTGTGAATGGGCACCAACAATAAAAAAAAAAACCTACCTGTGAGCGCTCTGCTTAACAGCATTTGAATCTCTCCTGAGTGGCTGTAGAAGCATGCAGTTTATAGGGAGCAGTTGTCAGCAGTGACCACAGGCCAATTGTTCATTAAAAGTAAAGAAGGGAAGCAGCTTTCATGTTGCGTAAATCACATCAGCTACTTTGTAAAAATATGGGAAGGGAGAACTGCTATTACTTGGAGTCCATCTTAAGGGAAGTCTTGGGTGCAGGTTGGCAGCATAGGAGAGCTCTGGGACAAGAGAGAGGAGTGATAGAGGAGCTATGCAGAGAATAGGGATGGTCTGAGTACAGGTTGGACTTCTCTGCTCCAGCACCCTCAGGACCTGAGTTGTCCTGAACCACGGAGTTTGCCGGAGCAGGGGAGGTCAAGGCTCCTCTCTGAGCTGTGGGTGTCCCCAAAGCCTGGACTTCCCTTCCCACTGCTGGCCCCATGCTGGGGCTCACAGAGTCAGCCTCCTCAGGCTAGGATTTCCCCCAGCCACTGCCATCCCCTAGGGTTCCTGGCCAGAAGAGGGCTTTCCACTCGCCCTACTACCGCTCGGGTTCTGGACTGGGGCCAGGGATTCCCTCTGGCTGCCACCAGTCTTTCTCCCACCAGGATCCCCCACAGCTGCTGCCAGTCTCACTTCCACCAGGGTTTCAGCTGAGGATTTCCCATTCCCACCACCAGCTCAGCTGCCGCGTGGGTTCCTGGCTGGAACTGGGGATTCCTTTCAGCCGTCACAGGCGCTACTCAGCCTGGGGCTCCCCAGGGCTGGTATCCTCACCCATCACAGGATCAGCCCCTGCCAGCCCAGCTGGGTCTCCCTAGCACCCACAAGACTCCCAGCCAACTTGTACTCCTCTCCTCCAGGGCTCTCTTTACCAGCAACATAGATGGTCCTTCCTTCTGGTCTACAGAAGTTGCCAGACCAGAGAGTCCTAGATTTGGGAGTTTCAATCTGTAGTACACCATGAGCAATTTATTTATTTTATATATTGCTGTAGCACCACAGAACATGTTCACTGTGCATTTATCTTTGGTTATACAGAGAATTTTTCCCTTTGGTGGTAATGCCTTTCCAACTGTAGAAAAATATTCCACCCATTTAATTTTTTCTTAATTCTTTGTCATCTTAGATCATAAAAATCAAATGCTCTTACACCATTAAGATTCATGGGCTAAACAATCTATTTTTAAGGATATGTATGATGGTTTAAACTGCAGTCTCTCTAAAATTTGTACTTTGTTTAACTTTTAAGAACTGAAAGTTGAAAATGAACATTTGTGTAGTCATTAGAGACTTAAAAAGATATTTTAATGTATTGTGCTTTAAATTAAAAGATTATTTAAAATATACAGTATACTATCTAAAGTAAGCTGTTTTATGCTTATATTAGTATAGGAATATAGCTAATACAAATGTTTTTCCTTAGTGCTCTCAAAAATTGAAGAGGATATGCATTCCATTATCATTGCTTGTCCTATAAATAAACCCTAAATAACAGAAGTGAACTGATTAACAACCTCTGGTGGTTTTAACACTCTTAAGTGTACAAGCTCATGTTATATCACATAATTAATCTTGTAAAATGTCATTTCCACTATGCTTTATACAATGTGATTATAAAATGCCCTGATAAAGAATAAACATAGCAGTTTAATTTCTTCACTTTTAAAGGCTTTGGAACGAGTTGTGGTCAGCCAAGTGGTAAGTAATGTTGTTTATTGTAACCCTTCTAATGACAAAACTGTTTTTGAATAATTTTAATACATGACCTTCTCCTGAACTCGTGACTTACTGAGTTCTAAAACATTACAATTAACAGAATATAAATCAAAGTCAGATTGAGATCATGTTTCAGCACCACAGAATTGCAATTTTATTGCCTTGTCTGCACATATTGATGCTAAAATATTTGTTTTCTTCAGACAACTAACAGTCAGCTAACATATTTTAGGGACTATGCAGTTTAATATAGTTTAAAATATCTTATTTTAATGGTAAACTATTTTGTGCTTAATCATGCTGGTTAATATTCTTCACTAAATCTAAAAGTGTGTCTTAAAAAAATTAAAGTGTAAAACTTCCAAACTTTGAATGCTTTCTTATATGGGCTGGTCCAACAGAGGCTCTTGGCTCAGTGCTGCTCATTTTTAGGGGATTCACATATCACTTTACACTTTGGTACCACAGTGTTTTTTGGTACAGTAATGTGGGTCATTAGAAATAAGGAGTTAGTTCAGGTTCTTCCCAACTCATTAACTTTTTGTAATTTTTGCAGATATTGTTCCAGAATTAATGCCCTTGTGGTGTTTTTGAGGCAAAAACTTGTCCACGAGAAAATGATGTGAAACTGCAAAAAGTATTCATAAAATATTACTGGGAACTGTAGCAATAACTATTTTTTTAATTTTTATTAAAATTTATTTTAATAAAGTGGAAGGAGTGGAACTTTAGGTACATCTAACTTTTAAAACAAGTTGAACTGTAGTAAACTAGCATAAGATTGTCCCCTGTATTTTAAGAATTTTTTGTTCATATAGCAAGTAAATTATAAAAGTTCCTAATATTCATGCAAAAGGCCCTTAACACATAACTTTTACTGAAATTAGCAAACACTTACTGACATACTTGGTTCTCTGGGACCATATCCCACACTTAAAATTCAGTAACTAGAGTAATTTAGCAGTTTTGCCACACTGGAAGCCTAGCCTGGTACTGGGTTGTCTTTCTGAATCTGGTACAGCACACTGCAGACAAAACTCCTAAACCATGTTAGCCAGTCATCTTATCCTCCAAGCACATGTAACCCACACACCTAGTGGGTGTGGTTCACTGTCTCATATAGTAGGACTTAGACCACTTACAGTGAGAGATAAGAACAAGTGAGCTCTACAGCCTGAGCTGAGAGCCAGCTGGCTTTATAGCTCAAGCTGTAGAGGTTTGTACACTAAGCTCCAGAGGTGCCAGATTCCAATGTGCCCTGTGGTGATTACACATACATTATTGGGTTCATGTTTTCTCAGAAATCAGATACAAACTCAGTGCAGGAGCATGACTGGTGTGGACCATACCTGCTAGACTGAAACTTCCAAAAGCCTGAGATCGAATTAGCATCATATTTTAAGTTAAACTGTATAGTTATAGTCTGCTGGAAAATTAAAAAAGCAAAAACTAAGATTACCATGAATATTTAGTAGTATTTTAAGTGTAAACTATTTATTTAGAACTGCATTTGAGTATAATTTATGGACAAATATTGGGTAATCTAAAGCCAGAAGCAATGTAATATTTTTTTACTATCGTATAAGTAATTTACTGTTTTGTTACCATAAATACAAAAAGCAAATCCCAGATGTCTTCCTAATCTTGAAGTGACAAGTAACTTTTTTGTTTTGTACTACTATTGTAGGTATTAGGAAAGCATTGTGATTGGGAATTTCTGTATAGTTTATTGCAGCAGCTTGCTTCTGGTGGGAATGTCACTCTTGTCTCTCATTTTTTAAATCTCTGTCTGAAGTGTGTTCTCTGCGTACTTTAAATCATTATTGTGTAATTTATCTTTTTTTTTTGTATGCACACTAACTTACAAGTATTTAATAGACTAGATTTACAGGCTAACTTAGCCCCATTGTAAGCCCATTGACTACAGAGGGCTTACACAGGAGATGCATTTGGCAGTACATTTTTAACTGACAAGCATTAACTTTTCTTAAGTAAACACATCTTTCATACCTAAAGGTATGAAGTTTTAAATGCACTGAACTGTTTTTATAAGTGCAGTGCTTTCTGCATGGATATCAGTTCTTCAGGGAACCAAGTTAAAGTAGATATAAATAAGAGAACATTATGACACAGGTACTGTTTTCCTTTTGCCTCCTTTTTTTATTAATTGGTCCAGTCTCTGCTCTGAAGTTTTGATGGTGCAATTCCATTAATTGCAATACAGTTCTATTGGTTTACAAATGAAGATCAGAATTTGACCTATCTTCCCTTCTTTTTCTCTAATCCTTATCCCTACCCCCACTTCCTCTGTTGTTGTTTTTCTTGTAATTAAGGTTATGCTGTTATCTGAGCCATTTTAATTTGCAAACAGAAAAAGTAGTAAATTATCCTCTCAACTAGGTTAATAAGACTTTTTTGAGAGAATGAAAACCAGAAGTTAGATATAGTAGTCAACACCTTTCCAGTTACTTTTGTCTTGATTTTGATGCCAACTTACATACCTGCTTTTCCTTGATTTTCCTCTTTCAGCTGCCTACAGAATCATTGTTTTATCGAGCTGTTCTACAGGTTATTATAGAGGAATGTTACGGCATGATCACAAGGTATAAGATTCTGAGACTAAGGCCTAATTCTGCCTTCCTAACACTGCAAGTTGTAACTATTAACATGAGAGTTGCAGAAAGAGGCCCAATATTATGTCTGAATATGTTTATATTGTGAATGCAGTCAGTAAATAGTACAGAAGTAGAGCTTACCATCTCTACAGATCTCTTACCTTCCAGCATTGGAGAGGCATTAACTAGATCCTTAGCACTGGACATGTAGAAAATTCTGGCAAATTCACTAAAAAGTTGAGGGCCCCAAACCTAGTGAGGAGTGACTTTGGTGGCTGCCATGATGGGAGAGGTCATAAAGGACAACATGGATCGGATCCTGAAAAATATCTGGCCCTGACGGGACTTTCAGAATTGGCTGGAGGTCTTGCTGGACTTGACATGAGTTCTGGAGCCATAAGAGTAGCCCTGCATTCAGAGCCACTCCACTTACTGTTTCTCAGTTTAACCAGCAGTCAGCAGTCACCCTTTCTGCTTTTTGTAGGTATGGGACCAGGAAGAAGTTTTTCCCCATACCACCAGATTGACTGAGGCTAGTTGAGTTTTTCATCTTCCTCACTGTGAAACCCAGAGGATTTTTGTACAACTGGAGGACTGGGATTCCGCCCCCCATCCCTATCCCTACCACCACACACACGTAGGACACAGTTGGGACTAATGTGAGAGTCGTTTTATTTGTCACAACTTTTGACAGATACCTATTTTAGGTTCCATATTCAAAAAAGAATAGCAACATAATGAGCATCTCCTTACAAGATGGGAGCAATATGTCTAGCCCCTTAGGGAGAAATGCAAACCTGGGGCTAAAATGCTGCCTTGGGGGATCACCCTTCTAATCCCCTTTGTATTGTTCTTTGCAACGGAGTGGAAGTTAAGATCCATCCTCTTTTGCCTCAGCCCCCAAAAGTGGGAGGGACACTCATGATCAGAGGTGCCCAGAGAACCTCTTAGCGTGATGGTTGGTTCCTGCTGCAGTGAGAGCATCCCAAAAAGTTAGCAAAAGATAAAGGGGATACAGGTGACTGGACTGGGCTATATCTCAATAGTAACTCTGGAGATAATTTGACTAGTAAAATTGAGGCTTGGTTAAGCCCATACCATTTGTTCTTGCCTTCTGTGTGGTGAGCAAACCAAAATCCTGCTATACGGACTATTTTGCAGTTCTTTTTTTTTTTCCATAGGTCTCCGAGTCAGCTACTGACTTGAAGTCTTGTCAGTGCCTGTGGGATTTGGGGTGGAAGCATAGCTTTTTCTGTCAATGGGCAACTACCCAACAGAAGAATTTCTTCCATTGCTCAACAACATGTATAATAAAACTGCACAGAAGATTTAGCCAAACAAACCATGAGAACTTGGTTATAAAAAGTATTGGCTAGACCAGTATATGTTATCTATTAAAGTAAAGGTAATGAGGGGGAGTTATAAAGACTGCACTTTTGAAATAAAAAGAGTTTTAGACCTTTTTAAGCTTTCAAATGTAAGATCGCTACAATGTTGATGAAGTAGCTGGAGTTTTCTTTGTCTCAGTGAAACCTTATGGGACCAGTTCAGCAGTTTTTAAGATATCAGGTTCCTTATCCAATAACACTTAAAAAGCAGTTTAAGACAATTAAAAGAATGAATTATGATGCCTTGAGTCATTAAGAGCCCATTCTGACTTTTTAGATCTTTATGTGTTTAGTGTATATCTTTCTTGTTACAACTATGCTGCTTCTGATTTGTAGGACAGATGCACTAAATGTCTGGGTTTTTTTCAAAGAATCTTTTAAATTCATAGCCATTAAGTAGTCTTCAGACTGCATATGTCCAAAGATTTTATTGCATTGGAATAATAAAAAAATTGTCATAGGAATTTCCTTTTCCCCTAAAAATAAAATGAAAAAATGGAAAGCTAATTGAAACAAAGAACTTGGAGCCTGACCCAAATCCAAGTTAAAACAATAGGACTCTTTCTGTCAACTTCAATGGGATTTGAATCAGGCTCCCCCCATTGAAAATAATAGGCTTTCTAAGAGTTTCTAGTACAATAGTTTTTACGAAGATAGAACTGTCAAGTTGTCCTACAGTGACTTAAGAGCATGAACACCAGCCTCTGGACATGTTCTTATGAGGCAGGATAAAAACCTCACATTAACTTTAAATTCTATACAGAGGGTATGTCTAGACTGCATCCCTGTCGGCAGAGAGATGCAGATTAGGCAGGTTGACATTGCAAATGAGACAGGGATTTAAATATCCCACACCTAATTTGCTTAAAAATGGCTGCCATGTTTTGCTGACTCAGTACTTTGTCGGCATAAAGAGGCAGTCTAGAGGGGAAACTGTCAAGAAAGAAAGACTTTTTCGACAGATCCCTTATGCCTCCTGCAAAGAGGTTTACAGAATCTGTTGAAAAAGGCTCTCTTTCTCGATAGATCACCTTCTAGACTGCCGCTTTTTGTCAACAAAGTGCTGAGTTGGCAAAACACAGCAGCCATTTTTATGCAAATTAGGCACAGGATAGTTAAATCCCTGCCTCATTTGCAATGTCGACCTGCCTAATCTGCATCCCTCTGCCGACAGAGGGATTTAGTCTAGACATACCCTTTGATTTTACCAACCAATCATCAAATGCAAACTCCTTAGATATTATAATAGTCTAACCATGGAGCCACAGACAGTCCATTTGGTACTCTAATGTACTGTGTCACCTAAGCACATTTGCTTTTGTGACACATGGTCCCTTATACCAGAAATCATAACATTCGGGTTGCTCCCAGTCTTAACGGGTCAGTCACTTACCTCAAGACAGTAGCACCTTAGAGCTCATACTACAAACAATGCTTTATAATCAACTATTTAAAGATTTGTTAATTAAGAAAGGAAGTAGGAGAGTCATTTACAAGGTTAAAGCAGGTAAACGTACATACACAAATGAGTTACAGTCTTAAGTTTTAAAAATTAACTTGCTTCTATAATAAGCAAGCTCTATTTGTCCCTTGACGTAACCCAGTCTAAACACTGGGGACCTCTTGATTATGCCTAGAAAACCTTGCCCTTGTAAGTCTAAGCAGCACAAAGATACAGTTTCCCTTTGTCAGGGATTTTTATTTATCTTTCCCCTTGAAGCAAAGACAGTAGCTAATGTCTTTGAGAATATGATTCTTACAGTATGAGATTAACAAGGTCAGTGAGAGGACTGACCAAATATATTCATACCTTTTTTCTAAGATATTTCAAACAGAGAAGAGATGGCATGTAATTTGCTAATGTGAATGCAACCTGTATATGCCTTCTGGTACTGGTACTTTTTGTGCCTCACTTTATCACTTTGACACTGAAGAAATTCTGCTTTCATAAACACTGAACTCTTGCTAAACGAGCAGATAATGCATTGAAAATTGATACTGTGTAATTGATCCAATAAAAGAAAGACCCTGTTAAGAGAGGAATTGAAGTAACAAATATCACCTTCACCTTATTCATTATTTGAGGTATCCATGAGTAATAGTATTTTTGGTCTAAAAGCTTCTCTTTGGCATTGGTTAGCTTGTTTTATGTATTTTTAGATAAAAGAAAAGCTAAATGTTAAATAAAGTATTATCCTAAATTCTGACATCTTATTGTATATGTTTATAATAGATCCAAGATTTGTGAAACAATAATATGGAACTTTTGTGTTTTTGTAAAATTGAAAGAATAACCTCAATATTACATTTGCAGTGATCAACATGTTGGTAAGATTTTCTCCAAGTCGTCTTCTTTTGTGGATTATGTCAGAAAGTCTCTGAAGAAGCTTGAACTTGATGAGTCAAAGGTAAGAAGCTGATGTCATATTGCATACAGTTAACATAAAGTGTAGACCCTAGAAGTGGCCAGCATTATGTGAGCAGCTCTTACTACTGGAATATACATCCACGTTTTCGTTTCTTTGTGAGTTAAACACTATTTATCCATGACTCATTATATCAGTTTATATATTCCATTTGGAGATTAACTTCCTATTTCATTTTCTTTAAAATACTTTCATTTTTATTTTAAAACTTACAAAATTCCTTTTTTATTTTTAGTTTTGCATGATTACTAATAGTCTGAATAATTTTTTGAAAACTCCCAGAAAATACAATCTCAAGCCAGTTATGTATAATTCATGAACATGTCTTTATTCAGATGAGTTTACAATATCTTTTTCCTTGGTCTTCCAAGACTTAGGTAGAGGACATAACTCTTGCATCCTCTTTGTAGCCTTAAAATTATGGATACTGGACTGTAGATACAGCAGCAAAGCCAGGAACAAGGTTTACCTGAGACCTTTACTCATATGGGCTGATAATGCTTTCTGGAACATTCAATTTTCCTTCTAATATTACCATGCTGTGATAGTGTGAAAAGAATGAGTATAGCATTTGGCAGAGCTAGGATTAAAACATCTAAATACCTTTGTAATCTAGGGAAGATAGGTGGCTTAATCTGATGCTGAAAAGATGGTGGATACAGACCAGCAGATAAAAACATAAGAATGGCCTTAAAGGGTAAGACCAGAGGTCTATCTTCTCACAGTGACCAGTGCCAGAAGGGTAATGACTTCAATGGTAGTGTCTATAGGAAAATCGGAATAATTCCCTTGCTTTCCCTTTAGCCATGTTGTCTAAATCTTAGATGGCTTACTATAAATCAGCTCTTTACTTTTTTTATGTAGACACTTCAAAATGGCCTCCATGACCATAGTAACTGAACGCCTCATTAGTGTTTATAGATTTATACTCATAAAACCCATGTGAGACAGGGAACTAATATAATACCCATTTTACACGTTTTCATCCAAAGTTAATAAACACACCTCCCGCATACTTGCATTTGGATTCTTTTGCCTCTGCTGAAACTATGCTGGTAGGTTTGCTACAACTTTCTTATTTCATCTGCACGTATAATAAGCATGTCTCCCGTATCTTCACTATAAATTAGAATGAACCACTATTCTGTACAAATATGGAGATACAGGTTGAATCTCTTTGGTCCAGGACGCTCTGGTCCAGCAACATACGTGGTCCAGGAGGACCAGAGAGCCTCTGGACCAGAGAGAGCACTGGCTCGGGACAGCAGAGTCAGTAGCCCTGCAGCTGGCCATGGCGTTCCGGTGGCTCCAAAGCAACTGAGCTCCAGCAGCCCCAGAGCAGCTGAGCCCTGGTGGCCCTGGAGCAGCAGTGCTCTGGTGGCCCCGGGGCTGCGACGTCTGGCAGCCTTGGGGCAGTGGAGCCCCAACAGCCCCTGGGCTAGCCGAGGAGCTGAGAGGTCAGGGGCAGGGGAGCCTAGTGATTTGCTGTCAGATCCCAGGAGAGCTGGAGTCTATCAGTAGAGGAGTTGATCTTCCTTGATCCGGCAAACTCCTTTGTCCTGAAGGTGCCAGACCAGGGAGGTCCAACCTGTACATCACCTTTATTATTTAAAGTTATGTAGATGAGAAAACTGAATAGTGTGGCAGAGATAACAGAATAAATGGCTTTTGCTTAATAAATTAACCCCTCATCATTGTCAGTTTCCTGCACTCTTATTTTGTTATGCTTCTTGTTTTGGGGAGTCTTTGCCCAATTGGAATATGTAGTGGCCTAGCAGTGTGAAATTTTCCTTTTGATGAAGGAATGAGTGTGTTATACCCTCAGTCTTTCTATCTGGTCATGATATGAAAGTATAGACATAAACTTATGCTCTGAATTCATGTTAACATATGGACTATCATGTTTTTTCAGTATTAAAATTAATAAATATTTTAGCCATAGTATAAAATACTAGATGAAGAGATCCAGTTCTGGCTATACTTTAATTCATTATATAACCAGATTAATGTTTGTGTAAAAGTTCTAATAATAAAGAGGCAGTAAAAGAGCTAATGGGGATATTAAATAATGCACAAAATCTACAGTTTTAGATTAATTCTGTGTTATATACATTTTCAAACTTACATTTAAACAAATCTGTGTATGGAGAATAAATATATACTAATGTGTTTCTGATTTCTTTAATGACCATCTGTTAATCTTCAAAATTGTGTAAACAAGTGAAGTGTCTAGCTAATATAACATGCTTCTGGAGTCTCTGTCTTAAGAAATTAGTGTGAGAGATGTGGAATAAAAAAGAGAATATTTTAATTCTAATCGTTGTCATTAAAAAGCAGGAAGAGCTACATATGAGAGATTTATAGAGGCTGAAGTCCAAAGCTGATCAAGAATAGCATATCCCTAGAAGTCACTTAAAAAAAGATCTTGAATATGTTTCCATTTTCTCACATTAGTAGTGATATTTGTATGACTAGATAGTTTGAAATGTCAGAAAATCATTATAAATTCTTGTTTTTATTTGAGGTACATTTTAGGATAAAAATATATCCTATTAGCATTGTAAAGATTCTCAGTTACTATTTCTGCCTTGAATGTGGCTGCATTAGATTAATTTAATCCTTAGATTGACAGTCAAACCTACCAAAGGGGCCCATGGAGTGCAAAGCAGGCAATTCGAGGAGCTCTGAAAGTGCTGGGAGGAGGATGAAGAAGTAGGAAGTATGGGGCTTCAGTGCTTCGGTTCATGAGAGACATGTGGGGGAGGAGGGTAGATGGGGGGTCTTCGGGCTGCAAGTGGAACCCAGGTGGATCATGGGCTGCTGCGACCCACTGAGATGAAGTAGGGCCAGTCAGCTGGCCCTCTCACTGTTCTTGGTTGCCCATCGCTGCTCTTGATAGTAATGTAATGGTATTTACCCCCATATTATTTATATAAACCAATGGAAAATATTTGTTTAGTTGTTTTATATCAATATAGTAACATTTTGATTAAACCTTCTTTAAATCCACATTTCGGCCTTCTTTGTATCCAGTGTCTTAGTACCATTGCTATTTTTTATACTTTTCAGGGCTGCTTTATTGCAGCCTGAACTCCTGAAAGGTTTAGTCATTCAAGTGTGAATTCTATATGGAGATAGCTGTCAATTGATATTCCACATACAGAGAAAAGATATTAAATAATCACCTTCAATCCATCTTCTCACCACATCCAAGCATACAAGCTTCTGTATTAGTTATAGCTTACTTTTTCACTGGCTAATGATGGTTATTTTGTCTAGAAGTCAAAATATTTCACACAATTGAAGAACACATCCATAAACATCTGGCTAAATATAGATGCAGTAGCAATTCCATAGTTTACTCTAAGTTACCTTAAGACTGTGTGTGTTTGTATATGTATGTGTTTGATTTTCTAAAATAGAGGTTCCCAAACTTTTTGATACTGGGGACCAGTAAATACATTCACAAGCTTTTAGCAGACTGGTAACACTTATTTGCATATTTGCATATTCATTAAGCAAATGATGAATATACAAATACATTGTTTCTGGTCCTCCCAAAGCCCCTAGTGCCAACTTTAGCACAGCTTTTGATACGGTCTCCCACACTATTCTTGCCAGCAAGTTAATGGACTATGGATTGGATAAATGGACTGTAAGATGGATAGAAAGCTGGCTAGACCAGGGTTTCCCAAACTTTTTACTTCAGTTGGAACCTGGTTTTTTCAGTACCTTTTTTTCAGCCCAAAAATATAAACGCATATAAAAAAAAAAGAATGAAAAATGAATAAATTTTCACTGTTTATTATTTATTCACAATAATAATAGTACATAATAATATAAATCTTGATATAAAATACTTACGTGCCTAACTTATTATTACCTTAATTACAATTTAACCAGTAGAATTTTAACCAGTTGTAAAGTTTGTTTATTTATAATTGAATGAGTTGAATATAAGTCATTTATTATGTGTGCATTTTAATAGCTTTTAAATAACTAAACGGAGAACTAATGGGAAGGGTGATGTTGTTCTGCATCACATAGCAACTTTATGTCAGGAGCAAAAGAAGAACGTTTTATCCTCAAATCTAGTTCAACATTCAATCTATTTCTATGTTTATATTTGAAGAAAACCAAAGACGAGAAACTAGTTTCACACTGATATGTCGTGATGAAAGGCATTAAGAATTTGACTGCTTTCTCAGATAAATGTGAATATTCATTTCTACAGCTCAACCATAAATCAATAAAGAGTTTATCAAAATTCTCTTTTAAGGCAGAGTCACAGGAAAGTTTAATTAATGAATCCACTTCTGATGCATTCAATTGTAATATTTCTTCATTTCCGGTGTCAACAGGTTCTTAATCCACATTTTACTGATGCCAATTGGATGAAAATATTCATTTAAGCTTGATGTTAGCCCCAAGAGATGTGGGGGTCTAGAGTGGTGGGAGGAGACAGAGACTGATACCTGGGGATCCTGAAGCTGCATGCCAAGGCCCAGGAAGTGCGTTGGCTGCTCCCCCATCCCCCAAACAGCGGCGCAGTATCTGAAACGCTGGTCTGTTGTGCACCTGATGCCTTCCTGCATGGAGGGTTGGGGGACTCTCGGATCGCGCCAGCAACAAATGCTCAGCAGCGCACGCCTTGCTCCTCCACTCCCCATGGCAGTGCGTGCTGCCCGAGCAGTAGGAACCGGCGCAGTCCCGGACTCTCACCCCCTCCCCCGCATGCAGGGAAATAAAGTCCCCAGAGCATGATGGACTGGCGTTTTAGGTACCATGCTGCCTGTTGGGGCAGGGGGGAGAACAGCCCGCACACTTTCGGGACCTGGCACGCAGCTTCAGAACTGCCCCCCAACCCCGCAGGAAACCTGCGCTGGCCCTACCTGTCCGGCGGGTTGTTCCACCTGCTCACCTTCCCCCCCAGTTCCAATTTTGCCTGCTTTATTGGCCAGCACTGGGTGTTCTGCATCAGT